GGGACTTCATTGCTTTGCTCCCCTTGCTATTCTGTTGCATTCCCTTAGCTTTTTGCACTGTGTGGTAGGGTCACATCGAGCACAATCCCCACACTGTGCCACTAGAATCCCTTTTAGTGCTATGGGTCAGGGAGGGATGTTGTGTCTTGTGATGGGGTTGGCCCTATGGTCCTTTCTGTGCATTGGCCTCTTTGAGCAGGAATATTGTCCTCGGGGCTTGGTGGGTCGTGATGTGAGGGTGAACACATTGTCGCAGTCACTTTGTTAATCCATTTAGTAGAGGGATTCCTGTCTTTCACTGCCCCTCATCTTTACCAAACATAATATCCTTTCCAAGGAATGTTTCTGATAACATGTCCAAAGTATATAATATGAACTCTTACCATCCTTACCTCTAAGTAGCACTCTGACATTACTTCTTCCAAGACAGATTTCTTTGTCCTTTGGCTCTCCATGGTATGTGCGATATTCTTGGCCAGACCTACAATTCTGATGCATTGATTCTTCTTCAGCCTTCCGTTGTCCATCTTTGACATGCACATGAAGCAATTGACAATAGCATGTTTTGGTCAGGTGAACTCAGTCCTCAAGGTAGTATCTTTTCTTTTCAACACTCTAAAGATGCATTGTTTGGGGTTTGTTTTTGTTTTTTTTTGGGTGATTTCTTTCTTTCTTTTTTTAAAAATCATTTTGTTAGGGGCTCATACAATTCTTATCACAATCCATCCATACATAAAGATGCATTGTTCAGCAGATTTATCTAGCTCAATGGAACTATTGATTCTTGACTATTACTTTCAGCATTCAGGGTTTTTTTGTTTGTTTTGGTCTTTTTTCCATAAGCTAACAATTTTTTTTCTGGAAGGAGTTAAAATTTACTCACATTTAGATTAAGAATTTTGATAAAGGAGGTGCCTGGTATCCAACCTTGTTCTTCAACCAGCCTGCCTCAGAGCTCTGAACTTGGAACCTGAACTTATGACCCAGGAGAATGGTGAGCCTTATATTCTACATATGCATGATGAATGGATAGAAGAAAGTAAAAAATAAATTGTGTATTTTTCTAGTAGCCTGACTTGCAGATTAGTTTTATATGGGCACTAAACTGCACCCATGTCAAATAACTGCCACTTTACAACTCCTTGCCTTAGAAACTCATTGGGGCTTGCAAAAGGCCAATGCTAATGATATCCAACTAGCCACTCAGGCTAATGCCTCCTTGCTTTATCGCAGCATGGCCTCTTCCCTCCACACTCATTTTTTCTTCCTAACCTACAGCCTCCTGGTGGAGTATGTTTTAGAAGCTCATGCCTGCATACTAGCTATCCACCCTCTTCCTAGAAGCCCAAGTCTATGGATGGGACATCCTAGAACACAAGAAAATAAGCCCTCTCCCAGTTTGTGTTATTTGTCATCAGTCAACATTGTTTAGAGAGCTTGAAAGCTATGCTCTGGGCCAAGATGACAGAATAGATGATACGCCATAACTTTTTTAAAAATCATTTTATTAGGGGCTCATACAACTCTTATCACAATCTATACATAAATCAATTGTGTAAAGCACAATTGTACATTCATTGCCCTCATCATTCTCAAAACATTTCCTCTCCACTTAAGCCCCTGGCATTAGGTCCTCATTTT